CCGAACGTTAAATTTTCTGTATCACTACTTTCTTAACGCGAAAATGCTTTTAGCAAATGGGCGATAATATTTCCTATTAAGATATTTCATCAATGGAGTGAAGTCAAGTCGAACGCATTATTGCAGAGTAATGCAGAGTGACAAGTTACGTAATAAGAAATAATGAAACAGTGACACAGTTCTGTAAAATATATCGCTATTATCGCAAATGTTCTTCGATATAAATAAATACATTATCCTCTACATGTATCCTTGTATGTAAACGTGCCGCAGTTACGTGGCAGGCCATCATGGTTTTCCAGTATACACGTACTAGTTGTCCGGGTTGTCAATGAAAATGTCAATCATCCTTTCGCACAGACGATAAAAAAATAAAAATCAATTTGACAGGAATTATTCGAGGCATTCTATTTCCGACGTGGAAAGCCAAGATCGTGGCCTGTGCTCTGAAGAGAAAAATATTTATTCCTAATAAATAAAAAAAAAAGGGAAGAAAATGGAAATCCTGCCATACCTGCGTCTTCCACGAGAGAGACTACAAACATTATCCTAAAGTAATTTAACATTTACCGTTTATCTATATACCGTAAGTTAAATTATTCATTATCCTGTTTGAGAGATGTATACGATGTACCGGTAATCGGGAATCGATGATATGTACGGGGTGTGCTGAGTGAAAGCATGTGTGTCGTTTCGTGTATGTCGAAATTTCATGCGCGCTCGCATTAACGGTGCGCGTAACTTGTTATTGAATTCTGGTATATCTTTAGCGATTAGAACAATTAATCCCAGCATATATGGACGGAGAAATTACGAGGACGAGATTTATCGATTTTACTCGCGTATTTTGTCCTTTCTTGTCGTATTAATTCTTCGCTTGACGCTCTCCGTGCGAACGAAAGATTAAAAAAAATTTGACGTTTCTTCTTTATCACGTAGGAACTTCGTAACGGAGTCTTGTACTAGGATAAAAATTATCGTCGAAGCTGTAATCGCTCTGTAAACTGAGCCTGCGTGGTTTCCCGCAGTCACTGTAAACACAAATGTACATACTTACACTGCACTAATTTAGTATTGCCGCTAAGTATTACAACTAGTCACATAAGCCAAAAGTTTGTTACTCTCGCAGAAGTTTTCTTTTTTTCAGTTTTGTAAAATAAAGGAGATGAGAAAAACACCCGAAGAATATCACAATTCCGTTTCTTTCCTTTGGATTCTTCTCACCTTCCACATCCCTCAGTAAAACTAATAGCATGAAAGAGAATATGAATATTTATCAACGATATGACAGACATATTGCGTCTTCATGAAACTCTTCAGAAACAATCATTTTTCATCCACAGGAACTCATTTTTGTACACTAAAGGAACATATGGATTCTTGAAATTTATTTAAAGTTTCTTGTTATATTATTTTTATTTTTTCAAAGAATTTTTCAAGTTCAATTATATAGCTTTAATTTATATGGTATAAGACTTATTTATATTTGAAAAATATAAATAAAATATTGATAGAATTTATTGCCTCTAAATCTTGTTAGATATGAATGCACGTTAAAGATTTTTTCAGAATATGCTATTTTTTAAATTATTCCTAAGGTCATTATATATTCCACTTACGTGATAATTTGTTGCATATATTACTTATAAATAAATATGATCGATTTTATCGATTCGACTCAAGGCACCTTTTCCACAAGTCAATAAAAATTTTCAACATTGTAACATTATCGAATAATTTGACTGTTCCATGTGATATTCGCGTTTGACAAAGAAATTACGTAACGTATTCCTATGATTCATTTTCTTTTCTACATATATAAAACTTGCATAGAATTTTGTATTGGACATTTTCCTATTGTTTACAAGCAGCACAGCTATATTTCTCGATAATCCTGCAATACGTTTTTACTGTACGACAATCATCCGACAATGATTCAGGTAGCGGAAATGAATAACGCTCTCTCTCTCTGCGCAGCAATTCTTTTACGTAAGCGCAATACAAGCGGAGCAAACGCTACGTATTGTACACCGTACGCCCCCGTTTCCGCTTTCATTTTCGACGTGCGTGTTCACACCGGAGACTAACAGTCGCTGATGAAAGAGTCGGGATTATTTTCTATATATAGCTAACAAACGTGCGTGCGAAAATTTTCTGTAACGAAGGTTATCTATGTTTCACCAGTCAACTTTATAGTGATCTTTAACGAAGCCGATTAGCAGGTACGTAACGGATTCATTTTTTGCTAGTTGTACACGATTAGTTGTAAAAAACTTCTCGTGTCATTTTGCATTATTTCTCTGCGTTATGATATTCAAATATATTTTTATACTACAACTTAATTAATAGAGGAAGATCACCGATACTGATATAGGTCTCTTAAAGAGCGACATCCCTTTATTTTTTAGAAACTAACCTTATTAATACTAATAAAAACGTGATCTGTTTAGCTAATTAAAGAAGTACAAACTTATAATTCATATATTTGTGGCTTATTTCTATACCAAATCAACTAAAAACAAATTCTGAATCCGAGAAAAAAATTCTTTCGGTGTTTTTTTGCAAATTGCGTAATTAAAATAATAGTGACTGTATTATTGATAATATTATGTCATTTTAAATGTTTATAGTTTGATAAATTAGTTTTCTTTACAGAATAGGAATGTTGGCATTGTTACCTACTATTATGTCAGTTTTGGAGCCCATTTTGTCAGACGCTCATTTTTGCATAACTTACGAAAAACTTAATTATTGCAAAATTGCAAACAGTATTATAAAAACTGCTTATACTATCTGATAGAAAACACTTTTTAGTTTGTATTTATATTTTTGAAGTTATATTTATATTTTTTGTTTAAGAAATATTATCTAAAAACACAAAAAGTGATATGTCGATATCGGTGACCTTTATTGTCCTTCAAAATAATCCTCCTTATAGACAATACACTTCTCTGACAACGTTTGTACAGCTTACGGAAACTCTGTGAAAAGTCATCTTTAGATACCGCCTTAAGTTGTTACAGAGTTTCCGCAAACTGTCATTGTTAGAACAAACATTGTCAGAAGTGTAATGTCTCTAGAGGAAATTACTTTGAAGGACAATAAAGATTATTTGTGTGTGTATATTAATTAAGAAGTATTTATTTTCTCATGATATTCACCGAACTTCTCATTGCCACGTCACGTATGTTAAATATAATACTACTTTGTATTGTGAAGGTGACGCGTGCCTCCGTGTGAAAGCGGTCGAGTAGTAGTTGACAGGTCCCAGATTTGATCCCTCAGCCCTCTCACGCGTCCCATGTATGCGTCGGGTTTTATAAAAGATTGATTGAAGATTGTGAGTGAAGGAGTGCAAGATGACTAGGCTAACACCTGCTTCGAGAACCCATATATAAAAAACTCATATATAAGAATGCACTACTCTTTAGTATTAAATATAAATAGTAAAAAATTCTAATTTGTGCATATTTAATTTATCAATTATTTGCATTCTACAAATGTTTGGAGATGCTTATTTCATGTTTTTTTTTTCAATATTTTCGAGAATCAAGAGGTAAAACAAATAAACGCATATTATTGTTCAAAAAATTGAACTTGCAGTGATATTGAGAATTTGCGGATTTACAAGTGTATTATTTGTTCTTCGCTTTCACTTTCGTCTTCTTCCGCATTAATCTTGATTAAGTACTTCAGGAAGCGTTTCTAATTTCTCTTTTTCAATCAATTGTAAAATATAATATTTATGCAATCATCTTTCAAAATGTGTCATCACTTCCTACATAGAATATGTCAACCAGGATTTAGTGATGACTTCTCTGACTAATTTAGAATTATTTTTTTAGCGAACAACTTATGTATTAAACGGAGTTATGAATGAAAAAAATGAGATTTTCGTGAACTAAATTTCGAGAAATAGTTAAAAAATCTTCGGTTAAAAGCGAATGGTTTATTTTTAAAAAATTCTAATTTGATACGTAAAAAAATATTACAAAGATATTTTATGAAAAAAAATAGACAATGATACAGTAAATGTTGATCTCTTCCCTAAAAAGAAATTAGACAAAGAATTTGTTATTAAAAGGACTTAGCTGGACTGTTTAGCTCGTGAATTGGTTAGTATTTGAAGACAATTTATGAGTACAGGAGACGTAGACTCTTGTATTCTCATTAGCGTTAAATTTACGATCGGAATATGTTTCAAGGCCTATTTAACACTTTTTGCTTAATGACTTTCGCATACCGGCGACTCACTCGATAGAAAAACACTTATGTATAAGTCGTGTATCGCGAGCTATACTATTAACTGATAATTTGCTGAATGCAGTAGGACGACAATTGATATTACCTACGTCTTGGGGGAAAACGTATTGCCTATTAATTTATCGTAATACGAATACATTTTTTGTGACGTTAAAGGAACATACAAGTTCTTGAGACCTATTACAGTCATTTTTTTATTAATCTTAAAAAATTCTAAAGTTTTCAACTGTATAAAAAATTGCAACATTTAAACATGGCATAAATATAATTAGTCTATATGAATAGAACTATAATGTAAAAAATAAGATTGCAAAACATAAAATTATTGCAAATTATTTAAAAATTAGAAAATGTCCTATTACCAAAATTTGTAGTTTTAGTTTACGGGTTAACAAATCTTTACTAGAGAAGATTAAATTATTTCTTACATAACGTTAAAGAAATTTTATTCGTACTGTATTAATTCGAAAAGAAAAAAGGAAGATAAACTAAAAACGAGATACAAAATTAAAGTAAAAATGTCGTAAATTTTTTTTCTCTTAGAATATAACTCAGCTATGTTCTCAATGTACTTTAATCATAAGTATAATATACGTTCGCTATAGAAAGAAGAATAATATAAAGATTACGGCTCATGCGGCTCTATGTCACAAATAAATATATATAAGTAGACGGCAGTACGTTTTCTCCTTCCCTTTCTTAGTCTTCGCTTTTCTTTTTGCTCTTTCTTGCTTCTTTCCCTTCTACAGTCTCTTACTCTCCCTTTTTTTCTTTCTTTTCATTCTTTTTATTTTCTTCTTTTCGCGTGCCTTCCTAACATTTCTTCTTTTCAAGAGAGTCTTTGATACCAGTGACTATGGTATTGATATCCCACCCCTCGATAGGGGCTCTGTGTTCCTCTTTCTCTCCCTTTCTTTCTTCCTTTCTTTCTTTTATTCTCCGTTAGCGGCCTTTAATTATATCACCGCTACAATGTTCCCTGCTTGTAACATGCTTGCTGTCTCTTCCGAGAAAGAAACGTTTTTGCCACGTATGCAAAAGCCGTGCTCATGGAGAGCTGCCACCACCGTCGTTGCCGCCACCGCCTCCATCGTCATCGCCGCCGCCGCCGTCGTTGAAGTTCGCGTGATACCGAATCGCGCTGCATAGTTTCACGCATCGGCGCGGTAACGTTGAGTCAGCTATTTTTTTTTTTTTTTGCATTCGTCGTCGATTATTACGAAAACGACTACACATTACGCCGATGTTAAGAGAACGAGAAGAACGGATGATCGAGAATTCGACCACAAAGTCAGCCGAGCCGATTTCTTGGCGATAAATTCATGGTAAGATATCTTCTGGTCCCCCTCTCTCCTTTCTCTCCCGCCACCCTTCTGCCTCCCTCCCCTCTCGCCATTAAACCTCGACTTGGCGTTGGCAGCACGTGGAAATATCATCGCGTTAATTTCCTGAAGGGAAGGGGCTCCTTCCATCTCTCCCCTTCGAGATTCAGCGATCTTAATCGGGATCAATCATGTTGCGTAGGCAGATTCTCAGATTAAAAGATGACCAAGGGGGACGTCCTAAATTTCTTTATTTTATTGTTTTGATTTCTTCAACTCGCGCGAAGATAATTATTTAAAAATTCTTAAACAGAAATTTTAAGAGAATTTCATCATTATCTATTTTATTAATTACATTCAAATTAGACGAGAAATGTGATACGTTAAATAAATTTACGAAACACGAGGCAAAGTTGGAAACTTTTCCTCAAAAGCGACATATGCGAAATATATCGACATAAAAGAGAAAAAAAACTTGCGTAATGAGTCACGATTAGATGACAGGATAAAGAGATAAACATTCAATGATAATATATGCCGATGGTTTTCCTTAATAATTATGCGTGAATGTGGCGACCGCAATGACGACAGAATCGTAAGGCCGATCACACTTGTTCAAGTAAACTTGTCAAGTATGCTTGCTCAAGCCACTTGTGCAAGTTTACTTGAACTTTTGTGTGACAGAAAACTGTACAGTTACAACTGTGACAAGTTTACTTGAACGTGTGTGGCCGGTCTTACGATTCTGTCGTCATTGCGTTCGCTACATTCACGTTCTTGAACTTGCACAACTTGACTTGGTCGCACTTGGTACGACGATCAGTTACGATCTATCAACGGAGAGAGGTACCAGCGCGTCGAATCACGAGAAGACTCGAGGAGCTACGACTTACGCGATCAACTATTTTCTGATTGTTGTTACATTCGCGCCTGACGAGCGAGTGTCAGTAAATACGTTCATTTGATCATCTCATCAAACTTTTCTTAACTTATTGTTACAAAAAAGTCACGTAATTTTATAATTTAGAGCAGCTTTCGTAATTTGTTATATATAATTCTAGATAAATGTTTTCTTTCAAAATCACACGATAAGTTATATAACAATAAAATTGATTAAACACAGATTTCTAAATGAAAGTTTTCCTCAATCACAAAATCAGGTTATTCTATGAAAAAAAAAATAAACGTATTTTTTTATTTACATGAATAAGAATCAACTGTTCGTTATCACTTTTACTTTTATTATGTAAATAATTTGATATATCATATCATAATGAAACATCAAATCATACGTGATTTCTTGTTTAAAATAACTGTTTGTATTTGTAAATACGTCGTGAGTTTCTTGACGGTGTTAATTTCTTAAATTCTTTTGTGAGAGTTGTATAAAACTCCAACCGGGTTGCAAGGTGAAGGCTGACGTCTTTTGCAGTTTGTAGCTAGTTGACTTCGTGGAAAGAATTGAAACGATTGAGGGGACCGAGAAGAATGTCAACGGCTCGAGAAGAGGCAGATAGATATTATTTACTACGATCCTCCCGCGTTAACTCGAGCACGAAGATGAAGCTACTTGCGATTGTTCCCGCCCTTTTTCCTTGGTTAACGATTGTCGATTGCGTGTCGACTGCGAGATTTTGTGGTCCAGAGACGGGAGACGGTAAGTTTTAAAATCACATTGTAACAACAGCGTGATACCTAAACAATACCAAATTTTAACAAGAAATGCGACATATAAATCGATCGGATCGTCGTATCGCTTTATTGAATGTAAATATCAAGAGTGACGTATTTTATAATTATTGTCCATTTATATCAATATGGATTAACTTTAATCTCAGTTTAATTTATTCTTCATCTTTTTCTAATGCCCAATTTATTCACCTCTAAATAATTTTATCTAAGAGATATCTCCCAGAATACAATGGAAATATCTCCTGGATAAGATTATCCGCAATTTATCTAGAAGTGAAGAAGTTGGGCATTATATTATACTTAGAATTACAAAAAGTAAGTTAAATCGAAATTAAAGTTAGCTTACATTGGTATGAGGAAATGTTTTTATTATGTTTTATGGAATCATGTTAATGCATGTTTTCGTTTCGCGGAACAACAACTGCTCCAGTTTTCGAGATTATTGTCATTGAAATTATTACGACAAACACGTTCATTACAGAGTGTCCTTGCATCGAAACACCTGTTCCCCATTTCAGATTTCCAACGCGCGCATGTCGGCCTGATTATATCGCCTATAATGTCTATTCGAATGATACGGGAGATCGAGATTTATTGGAATCACGCCAGGTATCGACCGGGCGATACGATCGCTCTTTACACGAGCGAACCCACGAACGGCCTCGAGCCAATTTATACCCTGATACCAAACGCACCGAGTGGTATAAAGAGGACCGGACTGCAGGCAACGTTTGTTCCCACCTCGAATCTCACGTTCGTTCAGCAATGCCTACGTACGTACGTGACATATATACGCATCGCAATTACATAATTTCGATATAGACTATTAATCAAGTATGTTATACATAATTATATATGAGCAATTTTTTTTATATTTTTTCCAAACTTGATTTTTTCTAAAACGAACACAATGCGAAAATTATTTCTTTAATTATTTTTGATGTTTTCTCATTATTATTATTTTGATTACACTAAAAAAAAAGAAGGATGTATGAATATGTATGGACATGTTTTACATACAATATAATTATATATGTTTATAAATATTTATATATGTTTATGTATGTTTATACATATTTATATAATATATATTCATGCATGAAAATTTTTTTCTTTTTCTTTATACTTTGTACATTTGGAATTTATTTTGTATTCAGAGGCTCCAAACCACGGAAAAATCATTTTTACGATGTTGATGATCGAAGGCTAATTTCTTTAAGATAAAAATTCATTTCAAATTCAATTCAGAGTTTATATTCTTATCCAGATGTAATTATAGATTTTTATCTGTTAAAAACAGATTTGATTCATAAAAAGATATAAATTAATAAATCAAGATTTTATATCATAAAATTCACATAATATAAAAAAATATGAATTTATATAATAAAATTGAATCTTGCAAACTTTGTATTTACAGTATTCCTTCAAAGTTCTTTTTTTGTAGTTTTGCAAAATAAACATTCAAAACTGTATTGTTTTCATCAGTTTGTTTAACTATATTGTTTCCAACAAAATTTCTTTTATTTCTTTTAATTGATCTTACTTTTTGAACAATATATAAGAATTGTAACGAATTATTTTTTTAATTAGTAACTACTTACTTTAACAACGTAATTTTTTCCAGTCCTATATATGCAAATAGTAAATATA